TTTTGTCTCATTACTTCAACGCCATCTTTGTACAAAATAATCTCTTCAAGTCGGGGGTTCCCTCTGACACGACATGTCACCTCCAATGTGCTCCCGACAAGTTGAGGATGTCGTGGGACTTGCAGAATCGCCCAGCCACCTACGGAAACACCACAGAGTTACCTCTGAATAACTTCCAATCTTACATTAGTAAAGCAATGGGGGAAATTCACTAATTTCCTAACATTTAATGTAACAACATCTAACAATAATGCGTAATGCTACAATGCAAGAAGGGGAGGTTAAGGTACTCTATAAGACAGCCTGCACCCCTGATATACTGTCTAGTTATAAGGTGGGGAAACAAAGTTTGTACCCCAAAGATACCACATAAGTAGAAAACCCTCCAAAACAAAACAAGTCCTTGTTGTACCAAATTGACATTTTAAGTTGAATTATAGAAGTAGATTTATATGTTAAACCCTAGAAAGTCACAGTATAAGTTGCAGGCTGTATTAAGAAGGGCTACCATCACTCACAGCATGTCTTAGATGAGCTGCACAGAAAACCTAAAGTTGAAAAGAAGCTTATAGATGTTCAACGCTCCAGTGTTAGGATTACACAGGAAGAAAGAAGCCTAACGTGCAAAGCAATTATATTTCTTTCATGCAGACAAACAGATCTTACCGTCCACCTTGAGCTCCACAGGGACACTTTGCTGGGTGCGAATCTTTCCCACCTTTGTATTTCTTGTTCCTTGGCAGTAGTATTTCCCGCTCTCTTGAACTTTGTTATTCAATAGATTTAATTCCTCCCCAGTCTGTGAGAGCTCCTCAGACCCCCTGAACCACAAGTAGGTCCAGTTAGACCTGTGCACATCAGGAATACTGCATCTCAAGCAAGCGCTCTCCCCCGAGAAGATCCTAAAATGTCCTGACACCAACTCAATGTTGGCTCTGAAAGACGCCTCAGTGGGAACTGCAGAAAAAATAGAAGAATACAGGTAAAGCATCCATTTTGGTAATGAGTGTAAATCCTGAGATCACTTCTAAAATAATATCTGTGCAAATTTAAAGTATATTTGTAAAGAATATTTGGTTCATACCATGAGACACTACAATCTGTGAGAGTGCTGAAAAAACTGAAAGAGAAAATAATCAAGTTTAAATGACAGTTACATCAGGTCAGTATGTAAAAGTACATTTTCATTAAATGAGCTGAAGAAAACTCACCAAAGAGAGAGATGAGCTTGTCCATTTTGGAGACTCTTCAAGAAACAGAAACCGATCAAGTATTTATTCATTTCCACTAAAAAGAGAAGTGAAAATGTTCCCCCTCCCCTCAGGGTGTAACACATGAGGACATCATCTTTCCCAAACAATTCTCTACCATAGGCTAAAATTAGTTTCATGGTAAACCACATCACGTGGCAAATTAAAGAACTTCCCTCCCGTATCTGACCCCTGTTAAATAGCTCTGATATGTTGCACAGTTCTCCCCAACGACACTTTTTTTTCTTCTTCTGATTAACGTGGAAACTTGATATTTTCCAGATTTAGCAAACACAGTTGTTCTGTTTATTTGTTGTATCAAGCCAATTGAAATAATGCAAATTTTACACTTTATTATTGTAGTACTGATGCGGTAGTCTGCTATGAGCTTTTTTTTCTTACAGCACTGTGTAAAAGCCATGAGTCACCCCTCGTGCCTTTATATTTTGCCAGGAAAATAGCAAATAGGTCCAACAATTTATTGAAAATTTTATTTTATTTTTTTAAAATCCAGGTATGGTCTTACTGAATTGGCAGTGTGACAATATTAAGCTGCTGCCAATCAGTTATTTTCCAGATAGTGGAACATGGTTTTTTTTTAGATGGATGTAGCCACTCACTGTTGTATCCGCCTACAAATATATTTTTGGGGGCTTTTTCTGGCATTACTAGATAGTGCAGTGAAGAGTGGAAAAAAAACCCATTTACCATTGCATTTTTCAAGTTACTAATCTGCTGGGATTTTCCCAGCACAACCATCTCTAGAGTTTACTGAGGTTAGTTTAAAAAAGAAGAGTTCATATCTGGGCAGTTCTCCAAGTAAAAATGCTTTGCTGATTTCAGAGGTCAGAGGAATGCTTTGAACTGATAGAAAGGCAACAGTAACTCAAATAACCACTCTTTACAACCAAGTCATGCAGAAGAGCATCTGTGACCACAAACCTCGAAGCAGATGGTCTATGGCAGCAGAAGACCACACCTACATTATTGATAAGTGTATAATTAACAGAATGAAACTCCATCAGGTTTTTATACAATCCACTGATTCGCTGCACTGTTGAGCTGAACTCCCGAACTGTAAAATATTATTTGTTGCATTATTCTTTCTAGCTCATTTGAACCCTTCCAGTGAAAATGAACCACAGAGCTTTTCACTGGAAGGGTGTGTTTTCTTGTTCTCTTTTTCTTTTCTTTGTTTTTTTCTTTGAGCCAAGAGGTCTTAAGCAACAGTTCTCGAGGCTTTTTAGGTTTCGCTTTTGGTTTCTAGTCCACTCCTTATACCTGACTATGTTCACGGGAATGTGGTTTTTTCTTTTTCTCTTTTTTTGTTACAGACAACATAACTAAGGACCATTTTTAAATTGTATCTTTAGGCATTTTGTTATTAAACCTCAGTAGGGCATGGAGTGTGTTTTTACACATTTAAGGAAATTGGACAAGTGCACAGTGAAAGAAGAAGAGGCCTAAAACGCTATCAACAGCAGATTACCAGCCACGTCATGAAAAACACATCCTTAAGATATGCTGCCAAGAAGCCACCCTTAAAGTATCCCCCCCTTTCCCAGATATCATACAGAACAGTAGACACAGCTAAAAATCTGGGTTAAGTTTTCTTGATTTTGCATGTCAGGAACTTCATTCCTGACATGCAAAATCTTGACCATCACAGTCATGTGAAAAAAATTAAAAGGAACCACAACAGTCCATCTGACTTTTCTATTTTTATTAATCACACACCCATAGATGCAAATATACCAATACTGCCCCAATAAGTTACATTTAAATAAAAGACAGTATTCTGTTCATTTCTCCCATGTCACACAATAACAAACCTATAAGGTAACAAAGATGCGGTTTAAAATGTTTTGAAATACCTGATAAATGGCTTCTGCATACAGTGCAATAAGAATTTATTCAAGCTGTTAGTTTATGTCTGCATTAAGAGCTTTTTCTCAAAGTGAATTTTGACAGCAGCCGCACACTGACTGCACTGTTGCAAATTCTCAACAACAACAACAAAAATTAAACCTGGTTGGAAAGGGAAACTTTAGCTCGCGAGAAAAGGAAAAATGTGCCTCAATTCAAACAAACTTTCCTAAAAAGCTTCCTCCGCTTCAAGACTGAGAAATTTAAAAAAGACAGTCGAACTAAATCTGTGCAACAAAGACGCTTTTAACTACTATACTATCAACCAATCTGCGCAATGACCTTCATTATTGAATGAAGTACTTTAAAAGCAAACAAAAGTGCCATAAAATAAATTAAACTGGTTTTCCAAATTCTCCATGAGCCTCTGGAGTGATTCTGCCTAATTCTTACAGGGAAACAGCATCGTGCTGGTTTTTGTGCCCAATTCATTCACCTTCTTTCAGCAGACCTGCTCATAATGCTCTCTTAAGACGTCGATGACTCGATCATTAAAATTTATACATCTTCAAGCAAAGATTTTTTTAAATCTACTGTAAATATTACAGGATTATCATCTCCTACTGCATCCAGAGGGAGGATTAACCAACACCGTATAGAAAAATAAAATCACTTCTGTACATCCAGCTTATGACTAGAATGAGGTCAGCCATGGAAAAAAAAAAGTATTTCTACAGGTGTAACTGGAGGATTTGTCAACATTACTAGAACATGCAACACACACACACAGTTTCTCAACTCACGCACACACTTCTTTTTTCTGGCTATTTCTGTGAAGGGTTGTGAAACGCACACTAAACACAGCACACATTACAAACATGAGCTGGAGTTTCAGAGTTTTGGAGAGCGGCAAGTTGGTTATTGCATCATTGGGAGTTCCCTACCACCTCATTTACCCCCACCCCGCCCATCTAAAGTGTTATCTAAAGTGTAATGAAAATTATTGTTTGTTAGATACAACTTGGGAATTAAGGGCCAACATAGCCCGGAGACATACGCTTAAAATAAATCCTCATCTGATAGTTTGAGAGTTATTATACATGTTTAAATATCGTCCATTTTATCCTCTCTGTACATAAAAGGGCGAAGAATAGCTGAGGTACTGAAGATGCCACAGTGGGTGACAAGCGGATGTGTTTCGGAAGAACTTGGAATGGCGTCACTCTCTTTCCACTGCTCAGCTGGATTGAGGATATCAGCAAGTCTAAAACTTTAACAGGAGCAGACTGTAACAGTGACAGACCCCTGACTGAGTGTTGCTGGACTCCAGGACTTCACCTAGTGGTGCCTGGTGTTCAAAATAATCTCAAACTTTAGTAAATGCTCTTATTTGCTTTCTGGTGGAGAGTCAGGAGCATTCAAACCACTCTGGCAGCTGCAGCCAGCCTAGCCGTGTCCACAGGTGACAGAAATCCACCACCAATGAACTACTGATCTGTACGAAAGCTTCTACGCTTTGGTTTTTCTACAAACTAATTTACAACAAAACAGTTAGCAGTGTTCAAACACGAGAGTGGCATCAAGCTTGTCATCTTACTCTCTCCAAGAAAGCAAATAAACGCACAACCCAAAAATAACAAACTTTTTTTTTTCATTTGAAAGTGACATTGCTATAAGGTCTAGCTTCATGGCTTCTACAAGAAAAGGGTGGATGGAGCAAAGACTCTGGGAGTGTTGACTGGGATCTGTATCAGACAGCTGGAGGGAAAGGGGTCAGGGTGGAGTAAAGCTTTATATCAACCAGCAAACACTTGTGGCTGCAGTGGTGGTGGCAGGAGCTCATTCTCAACATTATCAGAGTCGATTGCTGATGAAGCTGCTGCAGTCCCACTCGCTGTGGGTGCAGGAGGGTTTTGCATGTCGGGTGGAAAACTCTCCAGAACGCTCTGCACTTTCTGCTCCACTTCATCGGTCCAGTCAATGAGGTCACTCTCCAGCTGGCGAGCCTTCTCGATGACGCGCTCCTGCCTTTCCCCGAGCCCCGTCAGCAGATCCAGCCTTTTGTGGACCTGACTGAGAGCGCTGTTGCTGGAGGAAGAGGTGGCTCCGGAGGTGAGTGGCCAGTTTGGGGACGCCTGGCCCGACATGTAAAGCTCAAACTCCTCAGAGCTCAGGTTCAGAGACTGGCCATCCAACTTCTCAATGAAGGCCACTGCGCAGCACTGGGAAGACAGGAAGTAAGAGTGATTTTTAAAAAAAAAAAAAGAAATCTCAACCATGGATGTCATCCGTGGTTTAAATGTCACTAGTCGGTAACAGACTTACTAGTCCTTTAATCTGATTGTTAAAATTTTAATTGATGCCCAATGGTGTTAAATGATCATGCCCTAAGTCATAAATCTATTAATGCAGGCCTTACAATGCAGTATTAGAATGACATTTCGGATACAAGCGGTGGAAATTAGCCTTTTTCGAAAGGTGGATGTGCTCTGCCTTAGTGATGGGGTGTGGAGATCAATCAATCACGAGGAGTTCAGAGTATACTGCTGCTCCTCCACATCATAAGGAGATGGCTAAGGCTGTTGTCTCCTGGACAAGGTGTTCTGACATGTCCTATCGGAGAAGGTCCCAGCGACCCAAAACACTGGAGAGATTACATCTATTGGCTCGCCTGGGAAAGGCTCGATGTTTCCCAGATAAGCTGGAGGAGGTGGCGAGAGGGAACTTGGAGCTTGTTTTTTGTTAAATTTTAGCTTTTATTCAAGTGGCTGTTGTAAATTTTAGAACAGCATGCGTCATTCATAATGCACGACACAATCTTGATAATGCACGATGCAAGGTGAAGCACAGATGCGCAAGCGGTATATTAATTTTTCCATTAAGCTGTTCTCAAATTTAACTTACTGAGGGATTCTTAGTTTTACTAGTTGGTTAGCCTGATTTTTCCCCTCATTTAGTTGAGTAAGAAATTGGTTGCCAGGAATTTTCCCTAATTAATACTATCGGTATTATTACATCAGGAGGAACAGCTTATAGGCACTTCGACATCTTCTTTTACAACTCTGTTGAACACATCCATGTGATCTCTACACCGTGGTGTTTCAATTATTTTGGAGCATTTTGTTTTTAATCTATGCAAATGGGATTTTTTATTTTCCAAATTAAAAGTTGCTACAAAGGAAAAAAAACTGATTAATAGAAAAATGTCATTACCTAAATGGACTAAACTACAAGGATTTTGGCAATTTTTGTCAGAATATGTTTTTAAAAAGTGATGACTGAACTTTAAAAGGTGTAGTTTTGTATTGCTGCTGAAGGATACTGAATTTTACAGAACTTCTCTGACTCAGCCATCTCTTATAGCAAAAAAAAAATAAAGAAAACAGGTCAGAATACAACACAAAACAACCTCAAAGCACTAACCCATAACTGAAAAACTACAGACAAACACTGATAAGCCACATAAATGCACTTGTACTAATTTCCTCACCAGATTGGTGAAATAGTAGCCGTCCTCTCCAGTCATGAGTCTGCTGGGGTTGCAGAAACGGGTGATGTATTGGATGTTGGAGTGCAGTCGCGGTGGGTTTGCTTTCAGCACGATATAGATCAGTGTGGGGAGGAAGTCGTCTGCAGACGCAGCCTCTTTCTTGCTGACTTTGATGGCGTTGAAGATGTGCTTGCTGCAACGAGTAATGCATGCCAGCTTGTTCTTGGGAACGCGCTTCGAATCCATTTCGATCACGTCTGAAACAAAAGAGAAGACAAACAGAACATTAATCTGAAAGTTTTGTCCTATCAGCACTATAAGGAAGGTTTCCACCAGCGTACTACAAGCTCAGCATCCTGC